GGAAGGGGACAAAAGATAGCGATACCCTTGTAACGAGATTTCTTCAGCTTCATTTGTTGCGGTCAGATTTTGCCGAACACTGCCAAAATATTCAAGAAATATTTGAATAAGTTTTTGAAACACTTCAAGATCACGTATGTGTACACACACCTAAGATGATTAACTGTTAGCCATCGTGGCAACCGCCAACAGACTTCGGTCACAATGACTAGATGATACCTCAGATGGCTTCGAAACCTTCATAAACTCATAAGCTTAACTCTTAGCCATTGCTCTTAAAGTGTCGACAGGACGGCGATGCCGTGGCTGAAGACCTCGCCACAACCGAAGTCGCTCGAAGACGTGCGATGAAAGGTGGACACCACGTGACACGGCACTATCGTTTTCACTTGCGTTCAAAGTCTTTGATGTGGTGATGAAAAAAGACAGGACTTTCAAAGATCCGGTACCGCTGCCAACAGGCCGTTTTTCTCTAAGTGGCTCTAAGTGATGACATGTCAGTCGTGGCAGCTTTTGTACACGCGCAGACACACCTGACCACAGGCCCGGTGTCGAAATTGCAAATGGAAACGAACAGAACGCCAACAGAATCGGCGAAAGTTCGCCTCGCTTAGCCTCGTCTCGCCTCAACCCGCAGCCTCCTCACCTCTCGTTCCTCTCCTCTCTCCTCTCTCCTCTCCCCTGTTCCGTCCTCCTTTCAGTTCAGTTCAGCTCAGTGTTAATCACGGGAACTTAATTTGCCGCTTTCGCGAGCAGGACGACTATCATTCCGTCACTTCTTGAATTACGCTCTTTCTTTGCCGCGCGCTAACAGTTTTTTTCGCGAAAAAATTCCCTTTGAGTTCTGCCGTCTGTCTTCAATCTAGCTACATATCCGCTGATAGCTGTCTGCAGCTTACGCAGCGTGCAACGAACCAACTGATCACCTTTTCTTGTCGATTACTGAACTAGCAATGATTGGGCATGGAGCGGTCGATTGGCTAATGCTGTGATTAGGATATGAATCCGGATATGGAACTTATCTAACGAAACAGCACTTAGCTCAACCCGGATCTTCGAAAGTCACTTGAAAGGAGGGGGGAGTCAGCATATCATCATGTCATGCAGGACATTGAATCCCATTATATCTATCACTGAAACTGGATTGCTAATGAACGCCTCTAATCTAACTGTTTAATTATATTGGACTAAGGCTGATCTCCTTAAGCCAAGTAAGGCAATTTGTAGTGATGGTCAGAAACGCTTGAAATAAGAAACTGCGGTGAAGACAAGGTACCAGTAATCTGCAGATCTGTGTTACCCTAGCCTTGCTCAACGTCATGGCATGACGATATCAGGAGAGACGTGAAAAATATTTTTTTACGTTGGTGTCTTGCGACTGAATCGAGCTATGCGTACTATAAATGTTAAACGGAAATGTTTAATAAATTTCAAGAAGACTTAAATATCAAAATGGGCTCTTATGACAAATTATCTCAAATAATGCATAACTCCTCAAGGATTACTTTCTAGAATAGCGTACTGTTCAAAGAAAACAAACCAATGGTTCTCCTTCGAGACTATAGCATTGAAATATAGCAAAGGCTTGGCGCAAAAGCAGTTTGTTTAGAATCATGCACGCCAGTCCCTTTGACTGATCACGTAGAAACAAAGGATCCACGGTCTAGGTAATAACTATTGTTACGACATTCCTAAGATTTTCATTGCTTTCAAACTTTCAGCTCAGTATTAAACGCGGTTTAAATCGACAATCTGACACCAAAACGATTTTGTGAGCGCTCTGTGCATAAAGCAGTTTTAGCTTTAAGTATTCTTGAGGAAAGCATTTCTGTAATCCCATTCGCTTTACGCTTGTTAAGGAATTTGAACACCGATGAATGTAAATGTTTTCGAGGTTAGATACATTTACCAAGCAAGAGTTTGACTGAAAAGAGATGAAGTCCAAGCTCTTTGTCAGTTCATAGCCTTTGAACGATCCTTAAGGAGATTTGAACCGGCGTCCAGGATGGCAGATTACCAAAGTGCCGTTTGATTAGATGGACTAGCAGCTTCAATTGACCATTGAAGTAGCATCACAGGTAAAAAACTTTGCCAGTTATTAAACCTGAAACTGCATACACTGATTTCAGTATTTGGTAAAAACTAAATTTTTAAAAAATTGATTCCATGATTCCGTTGTAACTGCTTCTGTATGAGCACAACAAGCAAAAATACATGCATATTGAAATCTTATGAGTATATTCTTCAGCCAAGACGCTTATAAACTTGATCAGCAGAAAACTATGCCCTGTTCATTTAGAACTGAGATTGGTTAAGGTATGGATCGAACTAAACATTGCTGGAGCAGCAACAGCGTGAACCTCAATAATTTTCCAGCTGTGCATCGTGCTGTCTTTAATTCACTCGCACAGGGCGATGGACCACAACGGGAACGTTTCAAACATTGAAGGCGAACGAAAT